GTTAAGTCATCGTCCTCAAGGAGTCCTCTTGTTCAGCACGCACGACCTTCAGTATGAGTCCACCTGTTGCTGCTGCAGCTTGTGTAAAGTGACAGCCATCTTTGTGACGGACGGACGGATGACCCAGAAACATCGTGTGGCACTTCACTGTCTGGGAATGACCACGGGGCACCATCACGGAGCCAGGACGGGGCCAGCACCACGGGGCACCATCACGGAGCCAGGACGGGGCCAGCACCACGGGACACCATCACGGGGCATCACCACAGGAGCGTGACGGCTGGACAACCCTGCACAGTCATCCAATTCTTAAAATTGTGTTGTGTCGCTGATCATTACAGGTCCGTGCGGGGCCCCGACACCCCTGCCAACATGCCCCGTCCTCTCCAACCCTGCTAACACTCCGCCCCGGCCTACCACACCCCATCTCAACCCCCTCCTACCCCCACCCTCGCCTACCCCACCGTGGCCCCGGTCTGTCTCATACAACCCCCGCCCCGGCCTAAAAGCCCCCCCTCTCACCCCGGTCTGTATCGCCCCACTCTCGCCCTGGCCTCACCCCACCCCCCCCCCCCCAGGCACAGGCCGCCAGAGCCGAGGATTAAGCCATTGTCTACGTGAACACCACTTGTAAGTTGACAAGTACTTATGAGGATTACCTGTGATAAATGACCATCAACAACCTGCGCCCCTTTTATTACACACCTCCGCGGCCTCTCCTCCCCGCCTGCTGCTGTGTTGTACTGTTCTGATGCTGTGTTTACTGCTGCTGTTATGATGCTGTTTTGTGCTGTTCTGATGCTGTTTTGTTATCTCTGCTTTCTTCTCCTTCCTTACAACATCTTTATCGTCTGTTGTGGTTCTATTATTGTTTTTGTTAGTGTGTCAGCATCATCTGTTTACCTATGTGTCTTTTACCTTGCCTCGTCTCCTCTTCCCCTTTTCTTCTTAATTTTACAGCCTCGATCGCCTCTTCTTCCTCTTCTTATCTCCCTCCTACAGCTATGACCTTCTACATGCGGGAATCTGCTACAAACAACTCCCGCATGCGACCGACTCCATAAACAACGCGCAACCTTATAGTTTTCATGTACACCAACAACCCCTCCCTCCCTCCGTCCCCTCCCCTCCCTTCCCTCCGTCCCCTCCCCTCCCTTCCCTCCTCCTCCCCTCCTCCTCCCACTCATTCCTTTCTTCCTCCTCTCTCCTCCCCCCCACTGAAGACACTTATCGTCTGTCGTGGCGCCAACTCTCTCCCCACAGGCAGGATAGTCCGGACTGACAAACGCTCTCCTCCTCTCCTCACATACAAATAACTCCCACACACACACACTACACTACCCTGGTCCATGTAGGTAAATAAGTTGCTATTGGTGGTGCAGACTGGTCAGGTGAGTCAATCCACTTTACACCTCCCCCCCCCTCTCCACCTTATCTTCCTTCTCCTCCTTCTCTAGCCTTCATTGGTCTTTCTCTTTTCCTCCCCACTGCTTTTCCCTCTCCTCCTCATCCTCTTTCTCTCTCTCTCTCTCTCTTCAGCTTCCTCCTCCTCCCTTCCTTCAACCCGTCCTCTTTCTCTTCTGCCTCCGCCTCCTTCCTCCCTCCTCCCCTCCTCATTAAAAATCCCTCTCCTCTTGCCCCCACCTCCTCCTCCACCACCCCACCTCCTCCTCCTCACCCCTACATAGTACCAGGGTGAATTTCACCAATACGTAGATAAGGGTCATGTCCGTCACCCCGTTATGGAAATAGTAGTTGGTTATGTGAATCCCCCGCTAGATGGCCTCTCTTAACCCTGTACAAGGGAGGTTTATTTTGGGATTACCTCACCCCAATTTATTTTACCTGGTGATTAAACTCCCTAACGCTGTTATCTAACCGAAAAAACATAAATTTATCGTAACTTAACCTAACCTAACCTAACATAATCGAATAAAAACTAACCTAATCTAATGCTGATTTAACATAGCTTTGCCTAACCTAACCTAACCCTTTGAGGACGATGATTTAAACCTTCGAGGACGATTATTTAACCCCTTGAAGACGATGAATCAACCCTTTGAAGACGATTATTTAACCCCTTGAAGACGATGAATCAACCCTTTGAAGACGATTATTTAACCCTTTGATGACGATGGCTTAACCCCTTTGTCCTCAATGAGTTAAACTTCAAACCATTGGACACGGTTCTTGATTTATTACGTCCTTGAAATGAAACACGGACACAAACAAACGGACAGACGGAGGGAACAAACGACATCACCCATTTCTAATACCCCCTTCCCCCATCACCACTCATGTCACCCATCACTATACAATAACCAATCAGACCAAACATCCACCTCTTCCCAGGACACCATCACCTGGTAGTGTAACCTTAAATTAGTATACCTGTACGTGTGTTGTGTCTGGGTGGAAGGGGTGGGGTGGGGAAGGTGGAAGTAGGGAAGGGGTGGAGGTGGGGAGAAGAAGGTGGAAGGGTAGGAAGAGGAGGAGGTAGGAAGAGTGGCAGGGAGGAAAGGTGGAAAGGATGTAGGGGTGAGAGGAGGAGGAAGAGTTACCTGCCTCGCTTACCTGGTGTATTGCTGTAGTTCTACGTCAACATCTCAGGTAGACAATTAATCATCTCTCTATATATAAATTCGTAATCCACATCAACACAGGTGATAGTAAACAATTTATATAGCAAATAATACACTTGTAGGTAATGGTTGTATATATATAATGTATTTCAACAGAGACGATTGGTGGTGGTGGTGTGGGTGTGTGTGTGTGTGTGTGTGTGTGTGTTGTATATTAAAGCACGTGTATACAGTGTTACCCATACGTATGAGCGGTGTGTCTGTGTTGTGTATTTTGAAGTATGAGTATAACACAAGCCGTATGTAATAGGTGTGACTGTGTATGATATATATTTTAAACTATTCAGTATACCCTTGAAGTCACCAGCAACAACTGTGTATGTTTGTGTATATCTAAATGCCCAGTATTAAGTGTAAGTCATATACGTAAGAAATATGTGTGTGTGTGTGTGTGTGTGTGTGTGTGTGTGTGTGTGTGTGTATTAAAAGTATTGATTGTGAAACCAAATTACTATACAACAGATGTGCCATTGTTTAAAGTTACGTTTAGAAGTTGGTCAAATTTAGGTTAAGTTAGGTTAGGTTAGGTTAGGTCAGGTCAGGTCAGGTCAGGTCTTGTTACGTATGGTTAGGATACAATAAGATAAGATAGGTTAGGTTAGGTTAGGTCCAGCAGCTATCTTAAACGCCAGACAGACAGACAGACAGACAGACAGACAGACAGACAGACACACACACACCTGGCTACAACACAACACATTAACATCTTCATTAATTCACACAACAGGTATTTACGATGCATGCAAATAATCAATGTTCAGTTTGTATTTAAATAACGTACAAGAGGTGAATACGTATGTCTGTTAACGAAGACTGTAAATACTTGACGTTCACAGCGGGATATATACTGTTCACTACCCCTCTGTGATCACTACATACATACATACATACATACATACATACATACATACACACATACATAATTCTTACATACCTACAACACCAACACTATACCACTCCCACTATCACCCCTACCACCGCTACCACCACCACCACTACCACCACCACTACCACCACATCATCAAGCCAACGTTATTTTCAAGACTTTCCTGTTGGCTGACTCTCTGAATAATTATTAGAGGAAAAATGTAAAATCCACTTGAATAATATGTTTCAGTGTGTGTGTGTGTGTGTGTGTGTGTGTGTGTGTGTATGTGTGTGTGTGTGTGCGACTCGGCAACATTACAAACACACGCCCATCTTCACAAATACACAAGTCAAAAAACCAAAAAAAAAAAAACACTGAACAAGTGGAGTCCATTAAAAGGAGTCCGTTAAATGGAGGATCCGTTATATAGTTAAATGGAGGGTTCGTTAATGGTGGGTCCGTTACATAGTTAAATGAAGAGTACGTTAAATGGAGGGTTCGTTAAATGGAGTCCGTTAAAAGGAGGATGCCTTGTGTTGGATCATCTTTGTATATAGAGAGAGCAGTGACGTTTGTGTAAGGTGAAGACGTTCGTGACACACACACACACACACACACACACACACACACACACACACACACACACACACACACACACACACACACACACACACACACACACACACACACACACACACACACACACACACACACAGGTTCAGTGGTCCTGTCAATATTTGAACCAATGAAAGAAAAGTTGAATAAATGATAAAATATGTGGGGCTGTGTATAGGTTGGAGGAGACGTGGGGTAGGGGCAGAGATGTGTTAAGAGATGTGTGTTGTAGAGATGTGTGTGGGTAGAGATGTAAGGTAGTAGAGACGTGGGGTAGGGGTAGATGTGTGGGGTAGAGATGTGTGTGGGGTAGAGATGTGTGCGGGTAGAGATGTGTGTGGGTAGAGATGTGTGTGGGTAGAGATGTGTGCGGGTAAAGGTGTATCCAATGAAGAGGTATGTATAAGGGAGATATGTTGGCAGCCAGCCATCCATCCATACATACATACATACATATACATACATACATACACACTAATGCAAAGTAAATAATGCGTTGTGGTTATCGACGACCTATTTGGACAGGCCCTGAAGCACACCTCCAAGCGTAATTATTAAAAGAAATAAACACACTTCATCACATATATTTAGTCTGGCACATGTAAACAAGAGATATTGGGAGACCTGCTGGTGTGTGTGTGTGTGTTTTGGTTGATCAGCTGACCCACAGGTGCGTCTTCCTCCACCTGTGTGACGCTATATAAGGTCCTACGCCATTTTCCTCTTATACTTTTTTTTTCGTTTTTATGTCTTCTCGTAGTAGTAGTAGTAGTAGTAGTAGTAATAGTGGTGGTGGTTGTAGTAGTGGTGGTTGTAGTAGTTAGAGGTTGTGGTTGTATTTGCCACTTCGGCAAAATCGTGAAAATGACGTCAAAATGGCTGGAGTTGCCTCCGTGGCTCTGGTAACACTGGTGGCTCTGGATTGGCAACACTGGTAACCCTGTTGGCTCTGAACTGGTATCACTGGTGACTCTGAACTGGTAACACTGGTGGCTAAGAACTGGTAATACTGATGGCTCTTAAGTGGTAACACTAGTGACTCTGGACTGGTAACACTGACGCCTCCCCCCATAAGTACTTCCGGATGGCCAAGTTCCCGTTAAACTCTTGTTTCCGATCACTGTCCGGACATTATCGTCAAAATCATCGTCATAGTTATTATCATTATCATCAGCATCATCAATATCACTAAAATTTTCCCTATAATAATAATAATAATAATAATAATAATAATAATAATAATAATAATAATAATAATAATAATAATAATAATAATAATAATATAATAACCACAATAATAATAATAATAACCACAATAATAATAATAATAGTAATAATAATAATAATAATAATAATAATAATAATAATAATAATATAATAACCACAATAATAATAAAAATAATAGTAATAAAAGACATTAATTAACTATTACTTAATTCGTTCTCGTATCCTCTCTATCTACACTTTTCTCGGAATTATTCTATTCACCCTCGCGTTTATCAGATGCATTTGACGTTATATTTCGGCCATTTTTGCTGTTTATTCTACCTTTCGTTAATTTATATTCTCTCTTTCCATCTACATATTTACTTAATCTCCTTTATTATCTTTATTTATTCAATTCTGTCCTTCTCTCTCATTTATGAAAACTTTCATTCCCCTTTTGTCGTGTTATTTTTTCTTCTCTTTCTCCCCTCCCCCTCTTCTCTCCCTTTCTTTCCTTTCTCCTACCTCCCTTCCCCCTCTCTCTTTTTTCTCTTTCCCTACTTCCCTCTCTTCCCCTCTGCGTTCTTCCCTCTCTTATTGCCCCTCTCCTTCATTTTCTTTACTATGGTGCCTCTTTCCCTCTCCCCTCTCTAATTGGTTCACATCTTCCTCTCTCTTTATTCCAATCCCCTCTCTTCCCCCCTCCCCCTCTCTTCTGTCCACTCCCCTTTATTATATCTTTTCTTCTTCCTGTCTGCTCTTCTTCCCTTCATTATCTCTTCCTCCTCCTCCTCCCCTTCATTACCTCTTCCTTCTTTTTCCTTCTCCTTTTCTCTTTCATTTTCTCTCATTTTCTTGTTCCTTCTTCTCTCCACTATACTTCCATCTCCCCTTGCCTATCTTCGACTCCATCTTCCTCCTCTCCCCTCTCTCCCTCCTCCTCTTTCTACCTATCCTCATCCACTCTGTACCCTTATTCTCTCCCATCCTCCTCCTCTCCACCCTCTTCTTCCTCCTCCTCTCCCTTCTTTTCCTCCCCATTTCCTTCTCTCGTCTCCCCTCTCTTCCTACCTATACTCGTCCCCTCTGTGCCTTTGGTCTCCCTCCCCTGGCCCCGGTAGCGAGGGGAAAGGCCCGGGCACCAGTGCAGGTTTTCCGTCTAATGAGGGGAGCCGCGCAGGATTTTCCACTTGTTAGCGCCAGCGTGTCGAGCGAATCGTCCCTTTTCGTTGGTTTTCGTCCGTGCTGGCGTTATGGTAGGACGAAGGGGAAGTGTTGGCGGTCCCCTCGAACGAAGCGCAGAGGGACGCGACGCCGTAGAGCCGGGCGGAAAGCGGATGGAAGTGGCATCATTAGCGATGGCAGTGGCTCAGGCACTGATTGAGCCAATAGAGGATCGAAGAGGATCAAAACCTGAGTCAGGGCCGCTCTGGGGAATCCGATCCCTTTTCGCTGATTTTCAACTGATTGATAACTCACGATTAAAAAAAAATAACACACACAGGGGAAAAAATTATAGAGTTCGTGTTTATTCACTTACACACCGTCAACAAGAGAGAGAGAGAGAGAGAGAGAGAGAGAGAGAGAGAGAGAGAGAGAGAGAGAGAGAGAGAGAGAGAGAGAGAGAGAGAGAGACGTCTTCCAGAAACACAAACAATAAACTCATTATTAAGTGATTTTCTTTTATTTGTGTCGTCAAATAAGAGAAAATTAAAGAGACCACCTCTATCACTACCACCAACACCACAACTACTACCACCACTATCACTACCACCAATACCATCACCACCACCACCACTGCAAAAACAACCACCACCACAACAACCACCACCACCACCACCCCCCCCACCACCACCACCACCACCACACCACCACCACAACCACCACCACCACCACACTACAACCACACCACCACCACCACTACAACCACCACTACCACCACTCATTTGTTTGTCTAGGAAAGTCACTGTCTATAATGAAGTTATTTTTGGTCGAGGCACCAGTGCCCTCAAAGGTCTTGTTGAGTTGTACACAAAAATAATGGGAGAGGGGAGGAGGAGGAGGAGGGAGGAGGGAGGAGGGAGGAGGAGGAGGAGGGGAGGGAGAGGAGGAGGAGGAGGAGGAGGAGGAGGGGAGGAGGAGGAGAAGAAGGAGGAGGAGAAGAAGAAGGAGGAGGAGGAGGCAGGTAAAGGGAGGTGGAGGAGGAGGAGGAGGGGAGGAGGAAGAGAGAAGGAGGGTGAAGAGAGGGAAGGAGGAGGAGGAAGGGGAAGAGGGAAAGGTGGGAGGAAGGGGAAGAGGGAAAGGTGGGAGGAAGAGGAAGAGGGAAAGGTGGGAGGAAGGGGAAGAAGGAAAGGTGGGAGGAAGGAGGAGGAAAAGGGAAGGAAGAGGAAGATTATAGCATAGTAAGAAGTGTAGATAGTGTATTATCGAGATTCTCCCTCCTCATCTCTCCACCTCCTTAAGCCCTCACTACTCTCAACACCCCTCCCCTTAAACCCCACTTAAAAAACTCTCCCACTAACTCCCCTTTAATACATGACGTCATAACACCGCCCCTTACCTGCCCTACTGTTATTTAGAAAAGAAATAACAACAATAACATACAATAACAAACAATTACACAATAACACAATAACAAATTTAATGACACCTGCACAACACTCGTAATTAAATCTCTCTCTTTCTCTCTCTCTCTCTCTCTCTCTCTCTCACTCTCTCTCATTTTAAAGGACTCAAGAAATAACACGTGTTGATATTTCTTGCTTTTTTTTTCTCACCTTTTACATCTTTTTTTTTTTTTTTACATTATTGTTTACAAGTGAATGATACAGGGAGAGGTTGAGGAGAGAAGGAAGGTGTAGGAGAGGAAAGGGAGGAGGAGGAGGCTAAAGGGAGAGAGAGATGGGGGTGAGAAGAGGGGATTAATGAGGATGGTGAATAAATTGGGGAGGAGGTGAGAGAAGGAGGGGTGAGGAATGGGGACAGAGGAGAGGAAGGGAGAGAGGAGAGGGTGAAGGATGGGGTTGGAAGAGGGGTGAGGGAGGGGGCAGGGGAGGGGGGATGAGGAAGGGGGTGAGAGGAAGGGGTGAGGAGGGGTGAGGGAAGTGTAAGGAGGGAAGGGGGTGAGGGGAGGGGGTGAGGGGAAGGGGGTGAGGGGGAGGGGAGTGAGGGTAAAATCTCTCACCCCAGTCTACAGTGAGAGGAACAAGGACATAAGAGCCTCTGGTGGCATTATTGTTGAACGAGATATTTTACTTCACCTTTAGTAAAGCTTATAGGAGGATGAGTCAAAACACACACACACACACACACACACACCTTTTAGCTAGGACTTAGGCGTTCTTCCAACACTAAAAAGAGGAGGAAACGTGGCCAGCATAAGAGGAACAGACCACAGCAGTGTTATGATGACCCAGGACTCACAACACCTCAAATGTTCAAAATGTTTCAAGCTTCCCTCGCTGTAGTGCGGGAAAGCGTGAATGAACATAGACAAAATGCATGGGAGACATATGTCAACAGCCTGAACCAACACACATCCCTCAGCAAAGCCTGGAAAGACAAACACAATCAGAGGTAAAAACAGTAGACACGTCTCCCATCCAAACCCTCTGCCAAAAGTCGAATGAGCTAATAACAAAGTGGGCTCATGTGTCTAGCTCTGACATGTTACCAACTAGGACTCGGGGACTCCTTGATGCGAAAACTGTAGAGAGAAGTAATCTTATTAACTTTATGCTGGGCAAACAACACGATGAGTGTGATGTTCCATATACTGAGTGGGAGCTTGACGCCGCCCTCACCAGGGGTATAGCCACTGCCCCTGGGGAGGACGGAGTCACCTACAATATACAGTAGACTACTAAGGTGTGTGCCGGGTAATCCATTATTGGCATAGTACAATATGAGTCATGCCGAGGCCAACTACCCACATCATGGACCAGCAGTATTGTTGTACCAATACCGAAACCAGGACAGCCTGATGCTTTTCGTCCCATATCACTAACCAGCTGCCTGTGTAAAACCTTTGAGAGGATGGTTCTTGGCAGACTCTTATATAGAATCAGAGAACACATGTCTCCTAACATAAATGGCTTCACCCATGGTAAAGGTGTACATAATTGCATCACCACATTCCTAACTGTGCAGGGTGGATGAAAGGCACAGATACACCACATTTCTTGACCTAAAAGCTGCATTTGATATTGCCAATAGACAAATTAAATTGTAGGAACTAGCCAAAATGGATATAGGAGGTAGGCTGTTACACTAGATAAGTGGTTACCTCACCAACAGAAGGGCTGCTGCACTGTTTCAGGATTACAAAAGTGAAGTTAAAGATATGCTACTTGGCACCCCCCAAGGTGGGGGACTCAGCCCAACTTTGTTCAATGTTCTTATGAATGCATTATTAAATTTAATACCAGACAACCCCAGCAATATCACAATCAGCTATGTTGATGATATTCTTATACATACTAAAACTCATCGTGAAATGCAAACCACCCTGAACCATGTACAGTCAGCCTGTGAAAACCTCGGTCTTATTATCTCCACTGAGAAAACTAAGGTGTTCAACAAATAAGCTGGTAACCGCAAACGCGGCCCCACCAAGTTCAAGGCAGGTAACAACTCTATTGACTCAGTCTCTTTCAAATATTTCGGTGTCCCTAGCCCCTGTACCTCACCTGCCACACAACAGCTAACCCGCCAATGTACTGATAGGTT